TAAAATTATTTGTTTCAATGGAGATTGCCACTTATTAAGCTCCTTGAGGTTTCTTTTGGCACTTCTCCATCACATTGGTTTTTACGAAGTATAGTAAGTGTGAAATATAAAATATTGTTTAGTTTATTGTTTTTTGCTATGTGTTTTTTATTGTGAAAATAAAGACATAAAAAAAAATCTGAACAATTCAAATTCAATTCCTGCTGGCACAAGATCTATCCCATACTTTTATTTTGTAGTAAGCAAAGCTAAATCCAAGTTTAGTTTGGCCTGATGTGATTTAATCCCTGATTTAATCTGTCAGATATTCTGGTCTTCATAATAAAAACCAGTTTACATCACGTAAAGGACTTGAAGTGTGCAGCAGTGAGTAAAGATGTAAACTCAGGATTTCACCTTAAATGACAGAAAAAAGCAGTTGTTGGCCATAACTCAGGTAACGTTGAACAGCATGAGGTTTGGTCAGAGGAAGGACTCTGTCTGCTGGGACCTGATAGAGGAGTGGGGGTCACTGACCCTCTGTTAGGTCTTCTTGTTCTGATTGAGGTGAGGTCTCTCTCCAACCTTCGTATCCTTTCCAATCAGTCTGAACGTCTTGTTTTCCTCTCCGACAGTCGGGCAGCTGGTGTTTCTTCTTCTGCAGTCTTGTCACAAAGGGAAGGTCAGAGCTGATGATTCTCTGAGTCGGTGAAGAGATTCCCTCTCAGACTGAGTGGCGTTACTAAAAACACTCAGAGAATCTTAAAGAAGCTGCAGTCCTGAAGAAGTCGAGCCACTGCTGGAGCCTGTAGGTTTCCTGTCTTCACTTTGTTTCCAGAAGGGTTTGAGAGATTATCCTCGTAAAGTTCAGGGCCTTTTTATGACAGCGTGTTCGTACCATGTGCAGAGACTGATTCCTGTTCTTACTGCCTCTCATCTGTCTGTAGAGCTGCTCCCATCAGAAACACTTACTGCCGTCTCAGACAAATTACTCTTCTGTATACTTGAATATCAAGAAAGCTCAAGGCCAGTGGGGAATTGTTACACAACATCACTTTTTGTCTTTGTGTTCTTTTGGCAAACATGTTTATATTTGGTGAAATAAATGAAAAAGTTTTAAGACCCATCTAGTGTGTTCAAGAAAAGAACACAAACAATTAATTCACATGGATGTCCACGATATGATACGATACACAATACACATCTATGATACAATACACAATATACATCCATGATACGATACACAATACACATCCATGATACAATACACAATACGATACACGATGCAATACCCGATATACATCCATGATACGATACACAGTACACATCCATGATACAATACACAATATACATCCATGATACGATACACAATATGCGTCCATGATACTATACACAATACACATCCATGATACAATACACAATACGATACACGATGCAATACCCGATATACATCCATGATACAACACACAATATACATCCATGATACAATACACGACGCAATACCCGATATACATCCATGATACGATACACAATATACAGTGCATCCATGATACGATACACAATACGATACACAATATACATCCATGATA